ATCACGAGCATCTATGATATTTTTGCCGATACACGCGACGGATATCGTTATTTTATTTTTCTTTCCGATCAATCCTAGAAAAATTGGGAGGGATTTGAGATAAAATTCATATCAATCCGGCGACAACATATTATATTACGTTAATCTCTGTGCGAAACGCGGTGGCAAAGATCGGAGGAAGAAACGTTCTTTGCGAAGCGATGCTCGATGCTCGTGAGACCGAAGCAGGAGGAAACAACGCAAGGGCGTGCAGAACAAGCGCCCCGTGCGTTCGTTTGTTTTAATTTCTCGGCTTCTAATTAAACCACCGAAAAACAAAGCGAGAAAGGGGGAAGGAGAAAATGGAATGGGATGGAGGAAGAGGAAAGGGGAGGGTAGACATTTTTCCATACTACAGTTTCCCGGTTACAGAGAACGGCGACAGAGACGGGAAAGACTGGACTGGGGAGAGGAGACTATGGAGAGGGATGAGGGCCGACCAACGAAACGAGGAGCGATGGGAAAGGGCATTGAAAAAAATAAAACGACAAGTGAAGGAACGAGAGGGGAGGGGAGGGGGAGTGAGAGGAGAGGTACTAATTCAATCGAAACGGAATAATTAGGGGGACACACGCAGGATCCGGTGGAATGATGGAACGATTTCTATCGGACCCCTCCCTCCCCTCCCCCTGTCGAAGAAATATCCGTCATCGAAAGCCACTCGATATCTCGCAGCTTCACGACAATTTCGCAAATAATTATTGTATGGAGAGACACAAAGCGGCTTTCGAGTGCCTCTTGCGTTTCCCCCAGAATCCAATTCCATGCCGCCTCTTTCAAATCCCTTTGTCACCCACGATAATCCCTCGGTAGACGTGGTCGAGTTGACGATGTTTCTCCTCCTACCGTCCTCTCTAAAACTATCACTATCTCCCTCTTTCTCTCTCTGTCTCTCTCTCTCTCTCTTTCTTCACTCTATCCGGTTCTCCGTTTTGTACTCTGTTTTTATCTTCATCCCCCGCCACCGGGTTTACCCGTTTCGAAATTCTATTACTATTTCCGCTTATGGATCGCCATACACTCGCCCTTTTTGCCCTATTTCCTTTTTTTCTCTTTTTTCTCTCTTTCCTCTCTTTCCTTCTTTCTTTCTTTCTTTCACTTTTTTTTTTTTTTTTTTAAACGAAGAGAAAAATGCAAGTCGAGCTGGAATGGAAGATTATGGCCAATTTTAATTCCAATTATATCTCCCTCGGAGATATAAATAGATCGGCGGGGAGCGACGATTTTTCCCCTTGCGATTTATTACATTCGCCAAGCTTCCGGTTTTGCTTTTAAATATACCGTAGCCGTATCGGGTCGAATGTCGGGTAACAATACGGGCAAACGAACTGGTACAAATGTAGGGAAGAAAAATATTCTCCCCTCCCCCCTTCCTCGAATAAATAATTCATTCGTTCGTTGATTTAATTACGAAACGTGTCGACCTACTATTATCGGATATTATATTTCTAAATAAATATTCTTCGTATCGTAAATCCGAGAGTGTTTCCGTTCGAATATCGTGTTAATAATTAAATTTCGTTCCACAATTCTTAAAATTTCCCATGTTAAAAAAATTAATCCTGTTTGAGATGCAATGGACGTGGAAACGTGTAACGTTTTCTATTTCTGCGTTATTGTAATGCATTTTTTTGTAAGATGAGACGCGTTCTTTTGTGCGAGGGAAATTACGGAGGAGGGGAGAGGAGAAGAAACGTTGATTTTTCACGTCGAGGGCGGAACAGAAAGCCAGCGTTTAATTTTCTGATGGCGCCAAAGTAAATAAATCGGAGAACTTCAACATCCGTGAAGTTCAAAATCAACGTTGGAACCAACGATTCGAATAATCTTTATGCAACTTATACAATTATACACCCATTCGTTCGGTTTTTCACTCCTCGAGAAAGATAAATTAACGCATCTGGCTTGGAAAATAAAAAAAAACGAAAAGAAATGGCGCTGAATAACGATTCACCTTCCGACATTCCGACAAAATACCGCGGGTCAACGTCGTAACACCGACAATCGCGCGTATATTGTGTAAACTTTTATTTATTTACCCCCTGACAATTTTTTCCCAAGCGGAAAATACCAGGCGGGATTTGAAACTCTGAAAATTTTGTCACGCGTCGATTTCACGCACACGCGTCCCTCTTTTCCTCCGTCGCCCCGTATTCCACTCCAGCTCTTTTCGGCTCGTTATCGAGTGCCAGTTCCAATCCGCTGGTCTGCTCGCGACACTCGGGAAATGCTAATTCCATGATCGAGTCTTCGCCGCGTTTAAAATAAATTGAAGCGGAAAAAAACAAGGAAAAAGAGAGCGAGCGAGAGAGAGAGAGAAGAATAACGATTCGAGAAAAATACACATACGATGTTCAACAGTGGAACAGGTTTTCGAAGCTTTCCACGTTTGAAGTTTCCACGAATGAAATTATCTTTCAACTGTGCTTCGATTTTCGAAAGATATTTTATAAATAGAGTAATCCGTGGATTATAAACCGGAATGGATAAAAAGAGTGAGTTGGAGCGAGTTGAAGTTTGATTGTAGTTGTTTGATATAAAGTAGAGAGGCTCGAGGCAGCCTCGCTGAAACGAAAGATAAGGCTGATGAAGGTGGAACGAAAACGAAAACGAGTCTCGAGATAAGTAACATTTTATGCAGGCGTTACATGAAAATGAGGGGTGAAGAGATGGTTTCGACTCGAGGAGGTTAGGTTTTGAAAGAGGATTTTAAACGTGTTTCAATCTTGGTTGAATCTTCGCCTTGGTTCGACTAAGCTTCGACCGAGAATCGGGAAGGGAAAATATTTGATTTAGTTTTTATCTATCTTTAATTCTCTAACGATTTTTTATAAATATTTATTTGGGGCACGATTGTACGAAATACGCTTGAGCGATGATAGGAAATGATTTTGAAAATTAATGAATATTTTGTGCATCGAGCAGCACGAGGAGCAAAGGTAACGGAAGATATTCCTTAATGTGAAGTGAAGCGAAACTGATATACCGGTTAATTAAATTTAATTAGAATTGAAAATTCAGGAGAGAGTAATTTATCAAATTGAAGTTGAAAGGACGAAGATTGAAATATAAAAAGATCATTTCTGGAAACAAACTTATTTACAAACAACGAAATTTAATATACACTTTTTGAATTATTTTCATTTCCAATTTCTCGATTCATATAAAAATCTCTCGAACAAAAACGTGTGAAACGAAGAGAGGAAAGAGAA